CCTGCTCGGGGCTCAGGGTGTCCCATTTTGAAATCCGCGTTTCACAAGAGTATCACCCACACCCTCCACCAGCTCTTCTCTGAAGTCCGCAGCGGGACAGCCGAAGGGAACCACCCCCTCCCCAATTCCAATTCCGAGAAAGGTGACGTTTCCAGTTGCAACACCTCAACGTGCGGCGTGGGGCTCCCATGGAGAAGAAAAACAACCGAGGGTTAGCAGAGCCGAACGCTCTTGCGGTTTCGAAACTCAAAGCATCTTCCATCGCTGGGAAAGGCGCTATATAAAAACAGACTGAAATGAAAACCAAATTCAGCGGACGACTTCAGATCCATACGCATTCGAGGTACGAAGTGCTGGCAGAAGGCTTCTGTTTAAGTGACAACATCAGTTCGACTGATGAATATTCATTTGCCCACGGTGTATTTGGCACACAGCAAAACATAGGAGTTGATAGTCCACAGCTTTGACTAAACAGAGAGAGGTGGTGCCACTGGCAGAGTGGGGGCTCTGTGGCTGGGAGGTTGCAGGTTCAAATCCCACAGCCGGCAGAGGGATCCTACTCTGTTGGGGCCCCTGAGCAAGGCCCTTCACCCCCAGCTGCTCCAGGGGGGCTGACCCTGCGCTCTGACCCCCCAGCTTCTCTCTCCCTGTCTGTGTGTCTCCTGGAAAGCAAGCTGGGGTCTGCGAAAAGACACATTCTTGATGCAAGAAATTGTATAGGGCTGAAAAAGTGATCTGATCGAGATCGTGAACCAGCGAGTGACGTCATGCGATAACTCGGGCGACCTTCACGAAACTCCGTTAATGATATCCCATCGTTAATTACACCGGCAGGCAGGAGGGCACAACAGCGCAGGGCGAAGGTATCATCGATCTGCAAACCCATTTAAGCGAAATAAACCCGATGACACCCGGAACAGCAATATTAAAACAAAGAGGCGTTATTATACGAGGCAGCACGACTCAATAACAACATCGCGCTGCAATGCGCTTCAAGATCAACATTGAAAAGCTGCCTGCTGGAGATCGGGAGCTTATCCTGCAGTAGAAAGAGCTACAGGCGTCTTCTCTTCCAGGATGAGAGCTTTTTACTACGTGAATCGGGAGGGATGG